TACTGTATTGTTAGAGTTTTTGTACGAACAAAAACTAAGCTTCCTATCCAATGTAAAAAGTGCCAACGCTTTGGGCATACGCAAGCTGTTTTAACAATCCTTGAAGTGTTAAATGCCTTAATGACCATCATTACTCTGAATGTACACTCCCTAAATCGGGGGTTAAACCTTCTTGAACTAATTGCAATAAAATCACATGGCGAATGATTGTGGTTGCTCATTCTGTAAGGCAGTATTAAACATGAAACGTAATAAATCTGCATCTGGATCGAGATATAACACAGGACAGGCCAAGGTATTGAATAGTTGACAAAGTGTAGATCCATAAGTTATGAAAGCAGGCAAGCCAGATGCAGCCAACAGTCTTTAACTATCTAATTCCCTCCCCTATCCGAAAGGCAAGGCCCTTGGACAAGACCTTTGAACAATTCCCAAGAGAACATTAGAAATACGACGTCGTTCACAATTCAAGGCACGAATCTAGGCATGATATATTAATCAGAAGAAAAACAATCACAAGAACTGTGGTTACTCAGATTATGAATTTTCTATTACCACAAATCCAAAATATGATTCAGGTCGTGTTACGAATCGTAACCAGCTCACTGATTTAAAATTATTTAACTGGAACGGAAATGGTACAAGCAAACAAGAGAATATATTTTGGAACTTTATAATTTTCCACGAAATACAACTAGCTTGCATTACGGAAACGCATTTCCATTCAACTGACAAATTCAAGATACGAGTACCTGATTTTAATATATATAGAAATGATAGGCCCTCTTATAAAGCTGCGGGTTGGGTTGCGATAATAATCCGTAAAGAGCTTAGTAACTATCAAATTGAATGTCCCACTTCAGACTCCAATAATGTCACTGCGTACAATAATATGAAGAAAATCACTGTCATAGGCGACTTAAATAGTAAAAATAAAGCATGGAACTGAAGAATTACAACAGCAGCACGTCGTAAACCTTTAAAGTTCGCCTTACATCATAATATATTAATCCACTTTTCAAATAGTTTTGAAACCCAATCCAATAGTAAACTCTGTGTTTAATGAGAAAATTTTAAACAGGGTGAAGCAACCTATATACTCCGCGGATATAAGATCAAAATTCATATCCCCCCGCAGAACTTAAACACGCAATGAACAGACTCAAAAACAGAAGATGCTGGGAATGACCTAATAACTAGACAAATATTAAAAGAATTACCAAACTCCACAATTACAACAATATTAAATGCAGCTTTAAGACTAGAATTCTACCCACGCAATTGAAAAACCAGGCCAATTAGTCTATTACCTTCATTAGCTAAAGTGTTTGATGGACTGATTTTAGCCCGGTTAAATAAATTCTTATACGATACGAACGCCATTCCTGATGCCCAGTTCGGCTTCAGAGCAAATCACTCGACTGAACCCAGAATTGTAAAAGTTACGGATTTGATTGCAAAGGGTTTTCACGAGAAAAAGGACTGGCAGCTCTGTTACTACAGATATTACTAAAGCATTCGACCGTGTCTGGCACAGGACTGAAATACAAATTCCGCCATCTAGGCATTCCTAAATATCTTCAAGATATAATTGGAAGTTTCTTGCTAAACAGATACTTTAATATTAAAATACATGACACCACGTCGCATAAATACAGAATCTCAGCTAGAGTTCCATAAGGTTCCCCACTCTCACCGACTTTATTCAAAATTTACCTTGCCGATTTTCCGGAATTAATAGATACCGAAATAGCCTTGTTTGCAGACGACACAGCAATCCTCTCACAACATGAAGAACTGGTTATTGCTCTGGAATACCTACAAAATGATTTAAATATCTGAATTAAATGGCCTTATAAACGAAGAATCCAAATAAACCCAAACAAATCACAAGCTAAAAGTTTCTCGCTTAAAAGATAATAACCCCTCCAGTGTTAACAATTAGGAACAATCCTGTTCTCTGGCTAAACATTAACTAACTCGTGAAATACTTAGAAGTTAAATTAGATAGGGGGCTAACATGTAAGAATCACATAATTGATATTGCTAAAAATCCTATGCAAAAATAATCAAACTTAAGCTATTAATATATAAAAACTCTGCATTAAGAATATAAAATGGAGAAACAATTTTTAAATCTATAATTCGCCCGTCGCTCATCTATGGGTGCTCAGTGTGGGGAGGCGCTGGAAACACGCATACGTATTAATAAATTGGAAATAATCCAAAACAATTTTTTAAGACTGGTCACCAAAGCCCCTTGGTTTATTCCTACTACATAAATTCAAAGACAATTAAACATTAGCTGCATTAAAATGTACATTAAGAAACAATTTTAATTAAGTCTTGAAGCTTGTCTTAGTAAAATAACTTTCAACCTTGGCCGTACAGGTTATGCACCATCCAGCATATTGTCACGCTTTCCAAACGATCGCTTAAAGCCGCCATAAATTGCTGGTACTAATGTTATAAACAATATATTGAATTGTAATGATAGAATACATGTGTTATTCACAAGCGTGGTATTTTTACTCAATTTTAGTTTTGTATATTTTTGTATATTTTTGTATATTTTTGTATATTTTTGTATATTTTTGTATATTTTTGTATATTTTGTATATTTTGTATATTTTTGTATTGAAGGTAAACAGAAACTGTATATAGATTAAAAAATAAGCTCAAGTAAGTATACTGGTGCTCTGCTGTAACTGGAAGTGACTGTTAAGTTTCTCATGTAATGTATGTATTGTAATAACTCCTGAAAGGCCGAAGAGCCGAACGGGTAAGAAATAAATATAAAAAAACATAAAGAGATTGAATTCTCCCTGGCATATAATGGTTATTACCTTTTTATGCATTTAATGTTTATTTTGACATGGATGCGTGTGCATAATCTTATTAATAAATATGAATTTTAATTGTTGAATTAATACTACTTCAGAGAGATAGTTTTAGTTTGGTGTTATGGTGCAAATATTAGAGATCTATGTTTTAACTAGAATAAGGACGGTGGAATCTTCGAATCATGAAAACAAAATTGACATTGAATAATTCTAATCTTTGTACATTTTCGTCATTCCGTTCTTTTAAATCCCATTTCATTTAATGTCTTTATTCTATCTGCTTAATTTTTGTGGATTATATATTTTATAACTCCCATAATATTACCAACCGGATATTTTACGAGTATTTTTTCCTGGGTTGTTTTCCGATGGCTAAGTTTTATAAATAAATGCAAACGATTTTTGGTTTGATTTGCGCGAGTACTTCATCTTAGGCTGCCTCTGGGCAAGAAACATATCTCAGAATTCCCTCACTTCACGGCTTCGGGTGATAAGGAGTATTGTGTTCCCAATGATGGTTAACCAAATGTTTTAATGGCATTTGGTTTCTAGTTAAGTCTCACTCGTGGCACGCATCCTCAATTCTACGGGAAGAATCTTTTGTGTTTTAATAACTCATAGGAGATTCCAATCGTTTAATTATAAAACAAAGATATTATTTTTATTTGTTAACTTTCTAATCACATTGTAAGTCCAGTAATTATCAATTATATTAATCAATCAGTGACGTCAATCAGTGAAAAACTACATGTCAAATATGTATATATAGACATCTATAGATCTAAGATAACTTATCGTCCATTCTGCTGATTTTTTCATCTCTCATTGTGAACTAATTTGAAACACTGTTTCACTCCCAAGCTAAAAGAGGTAGCTTCGTTTCGCAATCATTTAAATAAGGTGCTTGTATGAAATAACATTAAGGCGAGAAGATAGACGAAATTGTTATATATAAAGGGACCCCAAAACATATTTCCGTTGAAAACTCAAAATCGATTTTCCGCAGAATTACATAACTTTCCCTATGCTACGTATACTACGTACGTATATATAGGGGAAAGTTCAAACGCAAATCTACAGTTCGTTTATCGACACAATTTAACTGGAAAACGAAACTGACTTGTTTTCAAATGTTGCTAACTTCACTTAATTGATAGTTTTATTCATTATTCAACTATTTATGAAAAAAGGAGTGGAAGAGATTATAGAGCTCACAAAAACGTGCGCGGATGGAACGTCTTCCTCATATGCGGCATATAGTGCATTGGCAAAATAAAATAAATCAAATCAAAGCAAATAGCCCGTTCAAAGATCAGTGGTCCACGTCCGATGTATAGATGCAACAGTTTCGTTTAGCTGTGTCGGATCTGTGTGTGTGGTGGTGGGATTGGGTATCTGGAGCTATTGGTCAATGAGGTTAGAAGTTGCGGATGAATATCATGCTTCTTTTGTCACATCAAGATCATTCTAAAGATTTTTCCAACTAAGTAAATTTACAATATATTTTGCATTAGAATAATTAATTAATATATTAATATGAAAATGACATTTTGTGGTAGAAATTTTCCCAGTGGTACATTTCACCGTCTTCATATGTCTAGAACAAAAAGCCATTTTATTACTTTTGGTTAGAAGTTAGAGGTAACGAATATGTGACTACGTATATTGTGACTAAATGAAACGTCTATAATGGAGTTGTAAGTGTTGAAGTCTGTGTAATCGGTTGATTTATTTACTATTTTCTAATAAGTAACGGCTAAAGAACTTGAGTAGTTTTCCAGACGTTGAAGATAGCTTGTTTTGATTCTTTCAAAAACTGTCGGTCTCTGAATAGCATTGTATTTGAGATGTACAGTGTTGCAGCAATCTTTCTAAGCCTCTTTAATTGAAATCTCTGTGAAATGGAGAGATCTGGCCTGCTTGCAGTGCCCCAAATTTGGATAAAGTAGGACCATATAGGAATTATTACTATTTTGTATACCATTAAATTATTATTTTGTATATCACAAAAAGGAACTTTTGTGAGAAGACTATATTAGCCATTAGGACACCATTCAAAGCTATTCATAGACAAATTATTGATCTACAAAAGTCTAATAACCTCTCTATGATCCTACGGAATTCTAAGGCTGAACAAACATTAAGCTAAGTGCTCACGCTCGTCCATCTGGCGCAGGCCGGAGAGCGCGGCGGTGGCGGCGTCGAGCCCCAGGAAGTCCCACGGCGCCGCGGAACGGCGGAACCGGAACAGGTGCGACACTGCGGACACACGGCAGCACGGTCAGCGCCACCCCCTCCGCACCAACGCGTTCGAATCAACTCACAACACAACACTTCTTCACTCATCGGATTAAACTACCGAAAATCGGGATCGCCGATTTTGCAGATCGGAACGCCGAAAATTGGAATCGAAAAATCGGAATCACTCTTGCCATGAAAAATGTCCGATATTTACGCAATCATTACTGACTTAAAGTATTAAACTTATCATGTTTAATTGGTTAGTGGTTTCTGCACATTTGTAAAATATAATTAAATATATCGTATCGGTGGTGTTAGTTAAACGTTGGGTAACATCGGACAGCTTGCTTTGCAAGAGTTCGTTCGCACAAAATCGCTTTGTGCATCATACATTCTACGTGAATTGAAGTTTGAATTTTGATAATTTCTGTACAATAAACAATTAATCTAAAAAAGTCAAAGAAATTTACAAATTACAAAAATGTCTATATAAAAACACGGTACAATCCGTTTATAGCGATAGCAAAATTAGTGGGTTCGCACCTGTGACACAGCAGAATCCAAACCATTTCATTTGACGAGTGTTAGTAATGAAAGTTTTTTTTAAAAAATGCGTAGAATTATTGGAACCAATTAAATTGTAAACTCATTGTATTAATACATTTCTGCAAGTTTCAAAAATGTAAAAATGTATGTGTACATTTTGATGCTTGTTGTACTTATTCAAGTATCTCTTTTCATCATATTGTAACTAATAGAAATTTAAAGGATATGAAACGTAGTGACAATAAGAAGACGTGTATATGCACAAGAGCTGTGTCAAATAGGAACGCAGGTTGGCAATGGTTTCGATGCCTTGGAGATGATTGACATAGGAAGAAGAAATGAAATCAACAACCAGACGGTAAATGGATGTTCTGAAATGAGTACGTACATGATAAATGGAGTTGTTAGTCAGAATGGTATGACTCAGTAAAGAATTTGGGTGTGAGAGGGTCATTCGATATTGTCTACATATTCAATTGAAGATAATATTAAGGAAAAGTTGATGAACTAAAGTATTTGAGCAAGTTCATCGTGAAGTGTACTGAGCGTTTGACATTAATAAAATAAAGGACCTTTAATTTTTTGCATGTTAAGATGAAGAAAAGATAAACTTATGTACAGTCTGCAAATTTGTTTTATTAATTAAATGTTATATTAGTCGTAACGATTTCATACAGTATAATGTTAAGTTTTTGTTATTGTCATGAATATACATTCTCTCTTTTTTTAATTGAAAGCATTTGATTTTGAAAGTTCAGTTAGTTGCCATATTCAAATCTTTGGTGTAGGCCCTAAAGCATCTGCCTTAATTAAATAATTAAATGTATATTTCTATTTTCTGCGCATGCAGTTAATTCATTAGTGAAAAATAAAAACCATCACAATATTATAAATATGTTCTAACGTTGTTTATAAGCTTAGAAAGCATTGGTGCTCTTATTTTGCTTTAGAGCACAAACGATCGAAGGTACTAGATAATACTGAAACTATTTCTAAAATTTTCATGTTCACAAAATTGCAGAGCACAGAAACATACACAATACTTATTAGTAGTTCATTTTGGGGAATGGTTGGCAGACTTTAATAATTATTAATTTGGATTCTGATCCCTCATCAGAGACCTTAATTGCATTAATATAAACAAAGAGTGAAATATTAGTGTACACCACTAGTAGTGTTTACAAAACAAGTGAACATTTCATAGAAATTGCTAACTCAATATTAAGCAAATATCCAACAGTATTCAACATTGTAACTCATGTATATTTAAGCTCCTGCTAAAGGTAATAAATTAAAACAGACTTTGATATCTTTCATGTTTACCGAAAAAAAATATCAACCGTATACGTACTCAATGCTGCTTGTGATATTTCAGAGTTTTAACACAATTGTAGGAAAAAATTAAACAAATTATTTCATACGACGAAAAGGAAGATGAATTGTTATTTATAATTAATAATCGCCACCTATATTATTGTAGTTTTATACATACCTTTTACGGCTCTCAGACACAACCAATCCTTATAAAAGGTTCTCTAAAGAAAGAGAATTTCAGGAAGACGTGACACGTGACGAAATGTACTTTCACTTTAAAAATATGACGGATTGGTTTAAAAACCACATCCAAATATTCATGTCAAATGCAATCCGCAGTACTCAATCAAGTATATCGTTAAATAACTTCTAAACAAAGTGTCCTAGGGTCTCAAGATCTGAAACTTCGAGGCTTAAAGACTCAAATAAACGTTCCACACACCATAATATACAGGAAGAGATATTCTTGTACATTCTATTACATTTTTGCCGGTACTGTGCTTATCGATACTACGAATATCACATACACATTAAGTAATACAGACTATATTCCTCTACGACTTATATTTCAGGTCTTGGTGCTGATGCCGATCTTTGTGACATGCTCAGAAAAAAGGTTTACATTCCTCCATCTTATACTATTTGCGCTTTCATGTACACTGTTGTTGGCGCAAACTCACGAGATTTATTGGAATAATTATTAATTCAAGATTTGCTCTCGAAACAACTCGAAGTACTATTACTAGTTGCTTGATACCGATGAATGTAGTTTCTTATGCGTGTAGAGAAACCATTTTGCCGTTGTCTATAACTGCTGTGTACCTAATTTTGAAGTCAACTATGATGGCAATGGACCACATGTTTTCGTGTTCCACTTTCACGATACCCTTAAGAAAAATTAGGGTGGCGTTTAGCATGCGAGAGTTATTGCATGGGTACGCTAGTATTGTAAATAATACACCGTTTGTATTAAACTTATGGTGTCGGTTCACTAAGATATTCAATATGTAAACATAGTTTGAGCAACATTCCCATGTACCGAAGTGAAGTCTAGCCTAATGAACTGTTTCTAATTGTCACATACGGTATTTATTACTCAAAGGTAAAAATAGTAGTTTTATTATTTTTTGGTTCGAAATTGCTTTTTTTGAGGTACTTAAGAACGCAGAAAATAATCCAATACTGTTTAGTATACAAATAATTTTTCCATTTTCGCACCCCAGCAAGCTGGCGCCCTACCGTTTCATAACCCTCTCTGTTCCTCATCACACTTCCAGTAGAGGTAAATAATATTGCAGAGAATAGGGTTGTACTTGCCCGATCCTGTATATTCTCATGGAAAACATTACTTAGCTCTCTCAAGAGTAAAAAATGTTTCTAATATTTCTGTGACAATCAAGGAAAGCGAAAAGCTAACTCTCAATGAAGATTGAATGTAATTACTTCAAATACTGTTTTTAAGGAAGTGTTAATTGTTAGAAGAACATATCTCAATAGTATTGAATAAACCTTTATTGGAAATTTGTTTCCAACATCAATTGCATTTTTTAAATTTTTGTTTGATATTTTGTACCTACAAAGTTACATTTATACTTTGGTTTAACTAATACACAGGTTTTATTAATACGTTTACTTCTTAATGGAAAGGATAAGGAAATAAATACGGAAAGGATGGGACAGTTCTCGCACAGGTACTCTAGTACTAGATTTGAAAAGATACTTTCGTGAAACAGAATTCTAAGGAAGAAAAAGTACTGCACATCGATTTACTGAATAAGAGAGATAAGAGCCTTTTTATATTAAAATTCATTTCTAAAAATTACACTATCACAAATAAATATTAAAAGAGTATTTAAAAGTAAATTTGGGCAATTTTAGATAAAAATCACAGAATATTACCGTTTGTTGTTAATACAAAATAGTTTGCGAGTCGCGAGTGTGAATTCCGACGTAAATACAAAACTCGACGATAAAAATATTAAATACACAACGTAGAATCGTTTTGACAATGTGAGTCGCAGATTCACATCATTCTTCACATTGTTTATCTTTTGGCAAAGTGCAGATAATGATATACTAATAAAGAGGAGTCTAGTATAATAAAGCTCAGATTATTCATCTAAATTTCGTGGAAATTCTCTTACTGATATCGGTATGTTATGATGTGCAATAACATACTTAACTCACGAAAATACACGCACGATGAATATATTATTATAGTGAAAAGGGTATTCCATGCTTGTTTCTGTATTACATATTAAATAATTGTTTATTTACCAAAATGAACTATTTTCACAGAGGTTTACTGCATATTTGGCTGAGAATAATTGAGATATGAGACGATCTGAAGATATTCAACGAGCTAGAACATACTACAGAGAGTGGCCGAGCTATGGTTTCAGCAATCTAGGTGGATGTTCGCAGAACTAGAGGCCAACATGTTTTTGCAGTCAAGTGATGGTGCCGTGTACAACTGTTGTACTGAATTGACGTGTTATTTGAAGCAGATCTTATTTCTATATTGTTGCCTTTTCATTTATCGGTATATAAATTATATTAGTGGCTAGAATAGTAATATTCACAATGCCTTCATTTCGACACAACAGTAAAAAGAGAGGTCATCAAACCACCAATATATCATTTTTCAATTTCGCCGCCTTCTTTTTGATCTGTTTGTTTGCTTCTTATTGCAATAATATTTACTTTCAGGCGTTATGCTAACTGCAATAACATTTCAACAGCTTCCATTCTTATGACTTTAGACGACGCAGGAAACGTGTTTCAAAGGTTTCTCAATTCGTTCTTCTTACATATTGTGATTTCGTTTTTAAATGATTGATTTGGGATCAGAATAAGATGATTTATATTACGTGCGACCCGCGCCCACCCAGCCTTAACAAGCGCCTTACAGAATATTAGAATACTCTGTTTATTCAGAGGGCACTGCTTTGACTGCAAAAAACATACTTGAATTTGCTGCAAAGATTAAGGCGCTTTAGCCACTTTATGAAGTGGACTCTAGCTCACTGATGAAATTAAATAAAATATGATTTTTGACAGAAAAAATATAAGGCTCATGAAGTACATATTGATTTTTCAATGTCTATATATCTTCAAACGGCGAATGAAGATTTTGTTTATTTTATTGTAAATTATAATGTCTATAAATTGCTTCTTTTATTATAGTTACTGTTATTATCTTTTATTATAGATACTGTTATTAGATGGAGTACTTGCAAAACAATTATATTCCTGAACGACCAAACTTTTCCACTAAGACTCCTATTATTATTGTTGTTGTTACTATTATTAGTATTTTCATGTGTACTATTTTTTTCAAACGAAACTCAAGGGGCCAAGAACTTGCTTTTGATATATAAAGCGTTCTTTGTAAGTAGATAGCGTATCAATATAGAGGTTTCAAAGTAAATTCACATGACCTCAGCCATGTCAATGTTGTACGTAATTCCAGTTTTTTGACAGTGTGTTATATAGAGTTTACTCAGTATTCATAAAAAATATTCATAAATAAAATTTAAGAAAAAATACTACCTTCAACAAGTGCCTTTTTAGACATAATTTAAAGGTTAAACCGTGATTTAAGAGTTACTTTTGCTGAGTATTTTTAAATTAATCTATATTATTACATGTTAATGGATTGGAGCGATTGCAAAATCTTTTAAGGTTGGGTTTAAAGAAAATCCCGGATTCGTCCCACCTCCTCTTGCTATGAAGTTTCTGCGAATGACGCAGAGCGAGCAAGAGATCATTTCGTTCCAGTGCGTTTCGTGGATATTCACAAGCCACTTGAGCAGCGATGTGGGATTTTCGTGAGACCTGTTGATAGTGCGCTGGCAGGAGTGGAGACTTGCTTACATAAAGCAGAGTTGAGGGCTGTTGTGCATCGGAGAGGTAACACAGTAACTAGCGGTTTTCGCGGCCCACTCCAGTCGACATAATGTTTTAATTACAAAAGTCACGACAGAAAGCTGAGAAAGAGAAGCTGTATTCATAGCAGTTTTTTTAAATTTAGCTAACAATGGAGGTGAAGGGGAAAATTAAGGTTGTGAATAATTCTTAAAAGACCATTCCCGATTTACCAGAAGTATAGTTACAATACAAAAAATCATTAGCACGTGTGATTCAATAAAATACAACGTTAGATAATTAATTAAATTAATTATATAGATGTATCTACACAATATCTCTACATTATATAGATGTAGCTAACAATGGAGGTGAAGGGGAAAATTAAAGTTGTTAATAATTCTTAAAAGACCATTCCCGATTTACCAGAAGTATACAGTTACAATACAAAAAATCATTAGCACGTGTGATTCAATAAAATACGACGTTAGATAATTAATTAAATTAATTATATAGATGTATCTACACAGTCGCCATATGTAATTTTTATAACGAGAAGCTTTGGTAGATAGTTGGTAAATAGTTCATACACAGCGTACCTGAATAAATTTGGCAGCATAAATTGGAAATTGGTAGTGTGCTAAGAAATCCTTTCAACTAATTAATATAGCAGACATTGAGTCTATGTATTTAAAAGAACTTTCTTTATTTGAAAAACATGACCTTAGTTATTGACTAATAAGATTTATCATTGGTAGAAATCAACCAATATGATTTTGCAAACAAGTATATTCAATGTAGTGTTACACGTGATTACACGAATGCTTTATTTAGACGAGTGTAAACATGTACCTTTAGGTGATATTAAATGCTAAAGTTGAAGGAAGGAAAAGCTTATCGAATTCATTCTTAGATTGAGCTCTTATTTGTTGGCAACCTGCTGTACACAATTCCTTTTGCCTATTCCATAGGCGACTCTGCAAGTAACTTTCAATTATTGCCGTGAATGAATGTGAAAAAGTTTAAGAGATCAGTTAATGATGTCAGAAAGAAGTCGCTGTGGATTTTGTTAGTCTATATTTCATTAGACTAGCGGAATCCGGCACACGTTGTTTTGCTCTTTATCTTCCTCTTTCTCCTTCCCTCCCCCTTCTCTCTCCCGCTCTCTCCGCCTCTCGCTCTCTCTCCGTCTCTCCCTCTCTCTCCGTCTCTTCCTCTCTCAGTCCCTCCCTCTCTCTCTTGTTCTCTCGCTCTCGTTCTCTCTCAGTCCTTCCCTCTCTCTTCGTCTCTCCCTCTCTCACTCTTGTTCTCCCGCTCTCGTTATCACGCACTCTGTCTCTGTCTCTCTCTCTTTCTCTCTCTCTTTCTCTCTCTCTTTCTCTCTCTCTTTCTCTCTCTCTTTCTCTCTCTCTTTCTCTCTCTTTCTCTCTCTTTCTCTCTCTTTCTCTCTCTTTCTCTCTCTCTTTCTCTCTTCATCTCTTTCTCTCTCTCTTTCTCTCTTCATCTCTCTCTCTCTTTCTCTCTCTCTTTCTGTCTCTCTCTCTCTGTTCCTCTCATACACATTTAGTTGCAGATTCTGAACGTTTCAGAGCAGGTAGGGTAAAATTGAGAAGCGCCGGGCCAGAAAAAAACGTAATATAATGTTCAAGAAGATACATCCTGTAGATTGCGGTGTGAAAAACGTTTCTTTCTTGAAGTATTAGTTTCCCTAGAAGGCTTCGTAGTTGTAACATAACAATATTTAGTCAAACATTTTGTTGTGTGTTCCGGCCTGCATTTGACATGAATTTTTGTTCTTTTTTATGTGAATTTTTACGATATTTTAATAGTTATCCTGCTATTCGGATCGGAGATGAATCTAACAAATCAAATATACTTAAAATTTGTTCAGATGTTCTTCAGTTATAAATGGTGTATGTAACTCAAGATAATATACATACATATATATATATTTGTGGCGTTTGGAACATGCAACAAACACCTCAGCCACCCAAGCAGCCACGGCGACGCCCAGACACGTCCCTGCAATGCATGTACACCGCTTTTGCAGGTGCGATACAGCGCGGTCTAGCGTCTGCTGCCCGCAGCTCCGCCGCCGGGCTTACAGTTCATGGCGAACGCGTGGGGTCAGTCGGTAGGGGATGAAACGCGGTGTTACCCCTCCAGGAGAGGTCGGACGTCCGACCGCACCTTCTACTCGAGTCGTCGACGAGGTCGATTGTGCGTTCCCAGTTAGCTGAGTGAGAAGCGATAGACGCCGTCTAGGCGAGAGTACGTAGAAAAGTAATTGTTCAAACGCCACACAGTAGTTAGGAGAGTACAGAATCTAGACATTAGAACTTTGATTATAATTGGGCGAATTATACACTGTGGAGATGCGTAAAGTAACAAGTATGACGCGGAATAGTGGCCGCAAAAGAGAACACTTGAGCTGCTGTAAGAACTGTTAAAGTAAGCTGCACGAGTGAGTGCGTCGTAAAGAAAGCAAAGAACAAATACGACGATATCAAACAAGCGTGACAACTTTGCAATACTCGTCGGCGTGCCGCAAGACAAGAGCGGTGAAGAAAAAAGAAGATGCGATTGTCTTGTTCTGATGCCGGGCAGTTCAAGAATCATGACGGGAAAAGTTTTGCCGAGCATTTGGTGAAGGACAAGAGAAGGCGGCGATCCGAACGACATCGGACTATTGAATAACGTCGGCATGGCAATATTAAATAATTGTTTTAAGAATACACGCACTAATTTTACCTAATTTCTTTGTCCAGGGTACACTTTCTCACACCCATTATATATACACACACACACACAGTTGCTCACTTTAATATTCGGACACCCAAATATACTTCATAAATCGTATGTTCTACAATATTTTGAAGGTTGTAGGGAACAAATATATGCAAGAAAGTGAAACAGAATTGTTCCTTTATTAAAGAAAACATAATAAAATTGTCTCGATTTATTAGCCACAGTAATATTCGGACACGTGAAATGAAATATACGATAAATAAATAAATAAATAAATAAATAAATAAATAAATAAATAAATAAATAAATAAATAAAATTTAAAAAACGCATTGCCAGTTTTGCAGTTACTCACAGCCCTGGGTGGCCAAGGCCAGCTGCTTCTGCATGGCCTCCTGGGCGTCCTTGATGCGCGCCTGCATCTCCAGCTGCTGCTCGTGGACAAGAGCCTCCATGGCCGCCACCTTTGCCGCCTCCTCCTTCGCCTTCTCCTCCTCCTCTCTCGCCTTCTTGGCCGCCTCGTCCTCCTGCTCCCTCGCCGCCTGCACTGCCGCCTCGTCCGGTTGATCGTCCGGCTGATCGTCCGGCTGATCGTCCGGTTCCTCTGCCCTGCGGCCTGGCCAGCCGGGCAGCGGGCTGTTCAGCAGGGCCTCGGCCAATTCTTGGGCTGAGCACAAGCCACGCGCGTCCCATTATGCAGATTGTTACGATATGAATGAATAAATTTTGTAGGGATTGTAATTCGTGAACAAGAACAGTTGAGGGAAGGATCCCCATGGATCGTCGGTTACCATGGATGCGGAGTTGTGGAGATGAGAACTGGGTTGAGATCGCCTGCTAATGGACGTCTGAGTGTAGGTCTCTTGAATATGCATGTGATATCAACTAAATGAAACCCAAATAGCAGTGACTTAAGGTAAGATTAGATAAAACCCTAATAGTAGAAAAACCTTGGAGAAGGAGATTCTCAAGTCGAATCGGAGAAGTTAAAAATGCTGGTTGATCCCTAGCGCACGAAATCAAGAACCTTTTGGGTGATTATAACATGAAATGTTGGCTCAGGGCATCGACTACGAATGTCAATGCATTCCCTCCGACCAGGAGTTCCTTGCTTCTAGTCCTGACGGTGGCAGAAGTTTCGACACTACCTACATAGGTAGGTCGAATTTAGTTATTGTCTGGAGAAGAATTCTAGCGGCCGGTGATTCTAATCAATAGTTTTCCGTGGTCTCTCCGATAGATACCAGGCGAGTACAGAAGGGGCAGTACCCTAACAAACGGGCCACGTATCGCACGCGATCTTTCCTTCCCCTTCCATATCCTACCCTCACCCCTTACTTACACACACTCACACTGCTACCATACTGTGAGACTGGTAGAGAATTAGAGCTTTTCCTGGTTGAGGCGGTGCCCCGCAGGTGGAAGATAACTGGTCAGGGAAAACCCCGCTAGCTGACAGACAGGTAGGAGCAGGATCTCACCATCCAGTGAGGGAATATTACCGCCGCTTTCAGTGGAAAACACAAGCACTACACTAAAGAGACTAATGACCTTAGCAGTTGACGCACCCGGAATCAGTAAACAATCATTCAAGTATTATTGTTTAAACTACATCAGGAGAGAGGCCAATAGACAGTTCGGCGAGTGGTTCTACGGCTGCAGCTGATTTAGTTAATAGCGTTAAAAACGGTCATGAGCCCTTCCAGTCCATACCCTATTGCGTGAAAGTAAGGCTCATAAGATCCGTAACACAGATGTATCGGATAAATGTTGCAAACGTCTAAAGCAGCAAGATGATCACGCAGCCAATGAACACTTTGATGGAAAATTTCATGTAAAAAAGTTACTCGTATGATATTTTCCCATGATTGATTGGCAGCTCCGCAAGCGCAGAGCTTTGAAAGGAACGCAAAACCTCTGACTGCGTTGCAACATGTTATGTTCCCTAACAATCAGGGGCAAAACTCAGATCTGTTGTATGAAATTTCCACTATATGTTAGATAGAAAGGTATTTGTTATTTCTGTAAGTAGGTTTATGCAACCTGTTGGCAAAACACTACACTTTAAAAACGTTCTAATTAAGAGTTTTAATACAATAAAACTTGACGATATTTTAAAATAATATGTTTAATAATGACAATAGTAATATTGAAAACAATTATCATAACAAATTGTTTATGGACTTCATGGTCAAACATATAAGCTAATCAATTAGAATACTATAATTGAATTAATGAACATTACTTTTGTATGTGTTATACGTTTTCTTTGTGTATGTTCTTTATGTTGCATGTAATTCGGTTTCAAAGTTTAATAAATTGTTTGAAGATTCATTGTTCCTTGACGACACGCGGCTGTTAATTCCTTTACGGTCGGCGGCCATTAAGATTAACTTTCTATTTCTCTATTGGGGTGGGTTATGCAGATATATTTACAGGACAGTATTCCAAAAATATATACGGATATAAGATCGGTTATTCTCCTGGCTAAACGGGTAGTCCATTTTCTCCAAAACTGATATTTCCCAATCGATCTGGCTTATGTCACAGTCCCTTGAATTTGAAACTGATATTTGAATTTTGGAGGATACTTTATATGACACCCCTGATTCATGTTCAAAATTTTCAAAAAATGGCGCCATCGATTTTCATTACATTTTTTGTAGGATAGCCTAAAGGCCGTTTAAAAAATGATGCAGATCTCATGTCGGTTGAAAACTAATTTTTCGACAATTGAAAATGTTCAAAACTTTTCGGCGTCTTCGGAAAAAATTCCATTTTTCTCTTAACGAAATGTGCTCATCAAAAACAGTTTCAAGTAAGGCCATGTTAAATTTTTCAAAACTATGAGTGTTTTTAGAGTAACTGGGCATCAATGTTAGTCGCCCGCTCCGAAAAAACTGCGCTTCACTATTGTCATTTTAGATGTTTCGAGGCAGTTGGATGCTACTAAGTTAAAATGTGTATAGTATGTCAGATTTCTTTGTTCGTTTCTTACATTGGAGACTTTATCCGTTTACAAACCAATCTTTTAGAAATTATTTACAACCCATTTTAAATAAATATGTAATAAAGACTGCTAGCCTTCAGTCGCCTGCTCTGAATTTATGCAGGTTGATGCTACGTAATGTGGCGTCATATCAGTTGCCTTGTACAAACGTACCAAATATCAGCCACGTGCATTTCATGCTCATGGACAGCGCTGGCGGAAGAGACGCCGGGCTGAACAATGGCAAACCTAGGGAGCGGAAGGGAAGGGCTGCCGTGTCGTGGGTTGCAATTCGGAACACCGTAGGCAGGCTAGCAGCGGAAACGCGTCGGCGGAAACAGCGAGGTGACGCAGTTCTGGCAGCCGGCCCAGAAGGTAATATAAACGGACCCCGGACCTAAACTACTTCTTCTGATTCTTCGGCGCGTCGGTAGGAACTCGTGTGAGTTGTGCGTGGGGCTGCATTTTAATGCATAGGCTACGGAGGCAGGGAACTGAAGCCGGCGTGCTACGTCGAGACGGGAGGTGCGACATACTCGCTTGTATGCTCACGTAGGCTACTGGTGCATCACACCGAATATGATATCTAATTATCAGGGCAGCGGTGGTGGTAACCAGGGAACATTCCTTCTAGTAACGGATCAGTTTTGTGTATTGTAATTATTGTACATAGTATTCAGGAGTTAGAGCATTTTTTCAAATAAATACTTAATAATTTACAAACCGTTTACGTCTGTGATTTATTGCCCCAGCAAAGACGCTACAGTAAGTTAGAATTTGTATATTTCATATTTCATTTTATTATTATTTATTATATATTCATGTTATTTCATTTTAAATTGCATCCTTTAATTGTGTTAAATGTGAAAACTAATTGATGAGCGGTCACTGTTGGTTGCTGTTACCCTTTTGTTGTAACGTTGCGCAGATAGCACGATAATGACGACTGATTTTCGTTCGCGGAAATAAAAAAGGATCATTTTATATTTGTAGAATATTACAATACCATCGTGCATAATAGTTACTATTATAGTTAGTAATAGTTACTAGCATAGTTACTATTATATACTTTTCAGTCTATTTGTTTTCCAACACTATCACTATCGAATTATTTATTAACTTTTATACTTTCTTATATTCTGCTTATTTTTTCCTACTAAATGTTCTACGTTTTCAAATGAGTTTTACAAAACATAATTTGAGGATAAATTGCGGAATAAATATTATTACATAACCGTTACTAATAGCGAGAAAGTACGTGATGTTTTAGGACCTCTAGTTTTTATGATTGTAGCGCAGACTCAACTTCTTCATGTAGGATAAGCCGTGAAATTAAAGTTTTCTCAAAGGCGCACGAATAAAAAATGTTCGAGCTTAGATTCTACCGATCTCAAGGAAGGCTTATAATCGACAGATCAGATGCCAGGGACTAAATTTAAAATGTGAAATCCATATTTTGTGGTAATATCTGTCTTGGGACAGAATTCGCAATTTGAAGCTCAATTTATAGAAATAGCATAAATACATTAATAGATGGAGTAACAAAGTTATTATCTTGTGATTTTGTGCCACTTACTGTTTGATTTTTTGAATTGTGATTATAAAATAATTTTAATATGACCATATACACGTGGCTAAAAAACTGGAAGAGCTTTGTGTGAAGTACTCTGATGTGACTTTACTTTCAGCCATAACGCAAAGTTAATGTCACATTCAACTATAAACGTCTGTATTTCAACATATAGTACAAGAAAATCTCTCTGCAAATTAGCTTGTGATGAAGCTTGAAACATGCGTTTGAAGTACTTTTATTTTTTCTCTCAATTGGACGGAAGGGCTTTGATGCTGTGAGAAATTATAATGTGTTCTCTATCAGCGTATTTTTGTTCTTCTTTTAATTCACCTTCGTCTCTATTATCATTTTCATTTTGTCTTTAAATTCTTTACCTTTCTTTCTTTAACTATTTGTTATATTTTTCTTTTTTTATTATCATCATTCTCGACTCTTCCATCTTCCATCGAACGCTGTACCTTCATTCTTTTCCTCGCTTATTCAAAAGTTATTCTCAAATATCGATTTTCCTATTGGTGGTGTAGACTGTATCTAGAAAAACTTCATATTAATTTTTGTAAGAAAATTAAGGTTTTGGGAGTTATCTTATAGAACGTCTAAAATAAAATGAAAAAAATCAGCTCCTAAAATATATTTGTCTACTTCTCCAAATTCGAAGATTTTCATTCGGCTTTTATGTAATATGCTCCAAATTATGTTGCTTATTTTATATTACGGAGCAAATGAATATTGAAAACTCTAAAAATGGCTCCAAATATTTGCTTTAATATTGAATACTAATTGTTCAAATTATCCATAGCATAACAACAATTTCAAATTTTGCATTCCATAAAAGCATACAAGGGAATAGAAGGGAAGGTACAAGGAGCTCTATAAGGTTATCCTGAGAGCAAACGGGGGAAGCGTGTGTACTTTCCTTGTGCGCTAGGAGAGCGAGAGAGGGGGGAGGGAGGGAGAAAGAGAGAGAAGGAGCGGTAGACGTCTGAGGAAAGGGTGCGAGGGAGATTCCATTGTAATTGCGCGCGCAAACTCCTTACTTTGCTCTCACGGTCCCACTAATCGGCATGGCTTGGAAGTTCTGAGAGTGCAGGCCAACAATGCTAA